CTAGATCCTTCTGCCTTTTAGCGGGAATTGATAATTCATGGGCACCTGAATGTCTGGACAAGTGTGTAAGTCCCTTGTTAAGTTAAGAAGAACCAGCCACAGAGAAAAGAGGCTGCTAGTAGGGTAAGCCACAGATACTCAAGAAGAGGGAAACCTTGGAACCTGCCGGGGTCCTTCCTGTGTAGTACCCAAAGCCAAGACTGATTTCCAAAGTGGAGTCCAGCATCCATTTTCTGAAACCCTCAAACTTCTCTTCCCTGCTAGAGTCAGACATAGGGAGTAAGAAGGGCCAGGAGAGAGGTGTGCTTTTAAAGCATGGTTTGCTACTAAGAACACTAGACCAAATGTCTGCCAGCAATGTCAAGGTTCAACGCAGCTCAGCTGTGTTAAGTGCAGACATTCGTAAGCTTCAGTTTCTGCGTGGGTAAACCAGCCCAGTCCAATCCAGTTTCAATTTCTCAACAACAAAGCAGAGCTGTTTTAGGGGCACCAAAACTCCAGCTTGTTTAGAAATTTTCCGCAACTGGACCACCTGGGTGGCTCACTTGGTTAAACAGCCACTCTTAATTTCAGTTCAGGTCATGATCTCACAGTTCATGAGATCAAGCCCCGTGTCAGGCTCTGCACTGACAGCCTGGAGCCTTCTTGAGTTTCTCTCTCTCCCTCTCTCTCTGCCCTTCCCCAACTTGCACACACACACCCTCCCTCTCTGTCTCTCAAAATAAATAATCTTTAAAAGAAAAAAAGAAATTTTCAGCAACTATCCAAGATAGTTATTATCCAAGTTAGCCATTATCCAAGATAATTCTGATCTCCAATTGGAAAAGCATTACAGGAAGATACCCACTGGTTCATTCCAGCAATGTCTCTCACTACTATTTCAAGAAAATAAGTGGGCAAAGGTTACAGAAGATAAAACTAATATTTAAGTCTTAGGATGCCAGAAAACACACATTAAAACCATGAGGGGTCCTCTTAGACCCGCTGCAATTTGACAACAATCCAGAAGTGATAAATAAGTGAGCCCCTTTGATGTAGAAAAGCCCCTGCAGAAGAGAAGCTAAACACCACTCACTTCTAAACAAATAGCCAACACAGTTTACAAACAGTCGTGAGTGTTTTTCTGGAACCAGGGCTGAATTTATAACCTCCTAAACTCCACATAGGGAATGTAGCTTCTTCACTCACCAAACAGCTGATTAGAAACGTTTCTACCTGCCTGTACTTTGGAAAGAAGAGTTCGAAAAGAAAACCAACCCAGTATTTTTCATAAACTTAGTCTTTGTTTCCCAAGTGGCAACATGATCTGATAGAACACATAGGGTGCAAGACCCAGGCTCCAATCCCAAGTCTGTTCCATGCTGGCTTAGATCTTGGGCAAGAAATGAACCTCTCTGAGCCTCATCAGGGACATGAGAGAATTCCTGCCTCCTGATTATTGTGGGCTTTGAAGAGACACACGGTAAATGTCGAGCCACGTGGTCAGAACACATTAGTATGCATTTTCTCCTCTTCTTGCAGAACACCTTCAAATTTTTACTAAATAAGCAGAAAAACTGTTTCCCATTACATTAAATCATAATGATGCCAGAATTCCTCAGACTAAAATAGATAATAATTGAAAAAGCTCTTCTGCATATATGCAAACCATGTGTTCGTATGATATACACATGTGTATAACCAAATATATACTCAAAAGGTGCTCACTGTCAATTCTACTCAGTGAAATTAAATCACAGGACATTGCCGTTTATCATTTTATGTCTACAGCTATAGTAACTTCAAGTCTAGAGCAAGGATTTCATATGTGCCTGACCTTGATTTCCTGGAAATAGCAGAATCATTAAAAATCAGAAACTTGGCATCTTCATCCCAATTCTGCCATTTATTAGCCATGTGATTTTAAGAAAATCATTTAGCAACCTTGGGCCCTGGTTTCCTGACTTACATAGTGAACATGATAGATTCATCTTTTTCTGCTCTGTAATTTTATGACTAAAATGAGGCACAGGTGCTTAGCTTAGTGCATCCAAAATGCAGTCGGTGAGAATGTTTTTAACTTTGCTATAAAAGTTCTCCTGGTTGTCCCCTCTGCACCCACCCTGTCCTCTTCTACTTTGAAGCACAGAAAACAGAGGCCCTGATGATAATAACACAAAGCTGTGTAAACTTCTTCATGGGCCCTTAAAACGCACTTCTAATTCGGTACACCCTACCACAGCAGTACTGAATTTCTCCTTAAACAAAAATGGTCACGGGTGTCAAAGAGATGTGAGTGAGTGTCCACTGAACTGTGTCTAAATGATTTTCCTTGTGAGGAAAGCCAGCCTGGAATAAGCCCCTACTAGTGAGAAGAGAAAACATGCTTCCCAGGCTGAGGAGGCATTGTTCAAAGTAATGAGTTCTGCACCACTTGGTCCACACTTCACAGCAGAGTCTGATTTTCATAGACAAAGAGCAATAACCAAATGGAGATGCTCTTCAGCAAGATTTTCTGAGCTGATTATTGTTATTAAACTCATGAGGTGGTGGAAAGAAAAAAAAAAGGAGACTACAGTCTCCCTAACCTGCTACATTCTCCAAAAGAGGAAGGTTTGTCAACCTTGGTCAGTATTATGCCAGGGGGTTGTCTGTCATAGCTATAATGGATTTCGAGTCTAAACTCACTACAAATGCCTAGAATTATTCCAGCTCAAAAGTCTAAATGTTTAAATGCTCTACTGTATTCCTTTTATCCTTCTATCATAATTTTATCTTTTTTTTTTTTTTTTTTTTTTTTGCCCAGAGAAATAACAGTCATGATCCTTGAAGCATGCAGACCAACACTATTCTTAGAAGGGAGCTGCAGGAGGTTTATTATGTCATGAAACATGGAGCCAGAACAAAGGACTACTGAATCACTCACCTTATCTTCATCTAAGAAACCTGAGAATTACAGGGTTTCCCTGTTCCTCTCAAACTCAGCACTGCACTTGTGAAGACAGCAAGTTGCAGGGCCCAGTCTATACTACAAAAATGTAAAAAAAAAAAAAAAAAAAAAAAAAAAACAGATGCACACAATGCTTCTCACAATATACTTATCTAAAATACTCAGAAACAATGTTCAGGATTATTTTAAATCAAAGTTTAAACATTTGTTTCTGAATCTAGACATATGACTGCTCAGCACTAAATCAACTGTTCTCCCTAAGAGTACTGTAAGTATTTACTCTGAAAACCTGAAACAGCATTAGAATTATTTCAGAACTCAACTCTGAGTTTATCGAAGGCAGGAATATAGATTGATTTATATGCCTTATATACAGTTTTCAATAAATATTTGTTGACTAAATGAATAAATCTCATTTAATCAAGAGTTTTCCCAGTATATTACATTAGGGCACCTTAACACAAAGCACCAATATTCTATTTTTATAATTCTATCCTTGTAATTATTTAGAAGACTGATTCTAAAAATAAGTTCAACTGATATTGATGATGTAAGAAAATGTATCAAACAGAAGCAGTAACTTTAACAGCTTTTATGCCGAATATGGTGCAGCAATAAATCTTGGCTCTGCCCATCAACCTTCCCTCCCTTTGTCTCCTTCCCAATGCCTGTCCCCAGCCTTCCCCCAAGCACTTGCAATCTCATTATCCCATGATCTGCTAAACTGCAGTTCACCTCCTGGAACCAGCAGAAACACATGTCACTGAGAATTATGGAACTGGAGCCAGTTACAAACCACCAAATAGGGTCACACAGTATCTGAACCTGAAAATTAAGAGTGTTTCTATTTTTTTTTAATTATGAGAAAAGGGGAAAAAACTTAATTGGACAGTTTTGAACATTTGAGCTAGATGGATTGCATAATGTCTAGGCATTTATAATGAATGGGATGGGAGAGATAACTTTAACAGCATGTTATTTGCTAATCAGCTGAAAAGTAATATTATGTTGACTTCATTTGCTGATGGTGGAAGGATATTGTCTGAAAACTTCTACCACTAATAAACATTTGCTACTCTTGAAGGCAAATTGTTTAAAAGTAGGATACAGCAAGACCATACCCCTAGTTCTTCATCTAAAGTATTTTTATGCCACACTTTATTCAGAAAGAGTTACTCCATTTTTAACTTTTACTATTTTAATTTTAACCAATATTTATTTAATAACAACTAGACATATTAATCCTGCAGCCTAGAAAAATGATCAACAAGATTCAGTTCCTTAAGATGTGTACCCTTGCCAAACGCTAACCTGTGTGTAAATAAATGGGATTTCCTAAAAGGGATAGAAGCTGTGGAGACTCACAATTTCAAGAAAAGGAAAAGGACATTGTTAATGGGAAGCTTGAGAAATCTGACTGGTTCCCAGTAAGGCTTCTGGAAACATTCCCCGCAGAAGATTAACCTCAGAAGTGAACAAAACTGAGGGGCAACTGGAAAAACAATCACCCCTTCTGGGAAAGCTTTTGTTTCTTTTCAGTGGCATTTTACTTCGGTCCATTTTGGAGCTCATCTCCTTCTCATAAACATGCCATAAGGAGGACACAGGTGCTCGGGTTTGCACACACTGCACTAACCACCTGCGCAAAGGAGGCCCAAGTCTGTAACCTTACTGCTCAAGAGCAAGGGTCTGATTGAATTTTTTAATGCCTCACCACCAAGGAAATATATTTTATTTAGTGGGGGTAACAGTTCAGTTACTGCCCCAATGATCAAAATGGTAATGCGAAACGGCGGGGAGGTGGGGGACAGTCTTCTATTTCAGTTTAGTTGGTTATTGTTTTAATGCTGAACTGCTAGCGTAAAAATGAGATCATAAACTCATTCCGAGTTACAAACAAAGAAAAGGAAGAGGAGAGAGGGGGCCGCAGACGCCCAACAGGGGACTGGGCTTAGGGGCGAGCCTGGTGGCATCTCGGACTCGCGGCGCCGTCGCCATGGGAACCCCGCGCAGGCGCAGAGAGCGACGCCGCGCAGCCGAGACTTGCCTCCACCTCCCCGCGCGGCGTCGCTCCGGTGCCCTCGTTTATTCCAGGAAAGGGTAATGGAGTAAATCCTCCTCGCGCTGAGTGTACTCGGCCTTCTCCGGAAGGGTCCTGAGTGGGGTCACCGAGCACAGGAAGAGTCGTGAGACTCCCCACGAATAATAGCGTACTTTTCCTTTCTGGGAAACGCGGACCTGCTTTCTCCGCGCTGTCGGGAGGTCAGAGTACGGTTCTGGGGACCCCGCGTGTGAGTGAAGCATCCTGCAGCAAAGCTTCGCCCTCCAACGGACGAAACCCCATCCACCGCCACGGGCGACTCGACAAGTCATTTCTGGCGCGGGCACACGCACACCCACGTCTTCTGAATTACGCCCCCCAACCAACCCCCTCCAGGACTAGCCGTGGTCCAGTTCGCGCTGGGGGTTTGGGGGATCCCCACGCACAATACTCACACAGCCCCTTAAAGAGCGCGTCCCGGCCGGGACTGGGAAGAGGAACTTGAGCCACCTGCTCATTTGCACACCTGGTCTGGTGTACCAGTCCTCGTTCTCTTTCCGCCTAGCTCCCCCCAAAGCACTGACCTGCTCAACTTTGAGTGTACGGCAGTTGAAGGATTCCTGGGAGTCCTTGGCACAGGAGCAACCTCCAAAGTGCTGGGGTGGTGAATTGTGGGCCCCTGTGACTTTCAACTCCAAAACCCCGTCGAGGGACGGAAAAGCCCCCCAGAAGCGCACTTCTCCCCACCAGCCAACAGAAAACCCTGAGACGCGCAGGGGAGAGCGGGGCGCCGCCGCCACAACCTGCTTTCTCATTCAAATCCTTACGCTAACACTGGAGCCCCCTCCCTCCCGGCCCCGCAGCTCCTGAGGAAATCAGGAACTGGAGCTGGAGAGAGCGGACTGGAGCTCCCACCTCCTCCAAGGGCCCCAGCCGGCCGGGGGTAAGGGGTCGAGAGCTGGACCTGGACCGCCCCCCACCCCCGGGCGCATGCGCCCTTACGGGGCTCTCAGGGGGCAAAAGCCAGAAGCACTGGGAATAAAGTCTTTTTTTTTTTTTTTTTTTTTTTTTTTTTTTTTACCCGTAGGTTTCAAAGTTTCCCAAACCCAGGGACAACTCCTGGATTCTCAGTTTGGGGCTGTGTTCCCAAGAGCCTCGGTGGTTGTAGGATAAAGGAGTTTCGAGAAACGAAGTTGGAAGCGAGGAAACAGAATGGGAACGGTTTGCAGCTTGCACCAAAGTAAAAAAGTGTCAGAACCACACCTTAAAAGAAAATCCCAAACCACCCATCTTATGTCACCTTCTCTTACCATTCTAAGAAAATAGCATTTAGTATGCTGTTATAACCAAGGAAATCTGCCTTGAGTAAAGTGCAACTAAGACGAGGAAGAGGGAGTGTAGGTAACCCTCTGCCTTTATTCCCCCCACCTCCCACCGTCAGTTCTTCCAGATGTTTCTCCTAAACGTTAACGGGACAGTTATTCAATCGATCAGTTTAGTGCCTGGCAGACTCCAGCGGCCACCCGGCAGTAAGAGCTTGGCCAGGGCGGAGGAAAGCTTGCACACAGTAGGTACTCAAATAGTGATGCAAATGATGAAATCTACTGAGTGCAAAGACAGGTGATTGACTCGGTTGGTGCGGCTGCTGGAACGCTGACTACCGCTAGCCTCGGCAGTCACGGGGTGATCCGGTCTCAGGATTCCAGGATTTGCATTTATCAGCCTTCATTCAACCTGCCCTATTGTTAGTTCAAAGCCTGGCTGGGAGGGACTTCTAGACTCTGCTCCTCACTCACCTTCAGTTTAAAATTCTCCACCAATAAGAAGGTCCTAGAAAAGCTGGCAGCATAGGGTTGGCAGGGATTTTCTGGGCTTAGTGACAACATAAACTAAAGTCATTTTCTTTTTCATGCGTGAATTTGCTCAGGAAGTTACAACTGAGTGCTCGAGCTTGGAGAGAAGGGCCGGGCTGCCTGTCCGCTTTGACGGACAGTTAGTGTCGGGGGTGGTAGCACCGTGACCTCTCAGCGCAAGATCTAGGGTTTCACCTTTTCATCCCACTTAGCCGATACCATAGAAACAACCCATTTGTATTATTCAATTCAACAGAGGCAATTACAATGTCACAGCAAAGCACCATGGGCATGAAGAAACTTTATCCTGAAAGCAATCTTGGACTCTCAAAAAAAAAAAAAAAAAAGCCACCGGAATAGTCATTTGAATTTCTTCATTTGAATTTCTTCATGCCAGGCTACCAGGGAAAATGCAATTTGGAAAAACACATATAAGGTCGTTTGGCTCCAAAGAAAGAAACCTCCCAATTTTTTAAATATGTCCATACAAAAATCCTCAATTTATAAGAAATTAAACAGGTAAGGTAACTCTTCTAACCCCAAACTGCTTCTTGTTTTGCATGCAAACATGTGCTGTTTAGAGATTTGTTTTGCTGGTAATCTCCATGGTGAACAGGAAGTCCAAAAAGAGAGAATGAGAGACGCGCACACACACACCAAGACAACCCTTCACACAACCATGGAAGTTATCCACTCCAAACCTCCTGTGTTTGTCTTTCTCATACCTGAAAACCCACAGATGGGTGTTAAAATAAGCTCAGACACCAAGTTTCAAAACAAGAGCATTTGTTTGTGATGCAGTCTTTATTTTGAAAGTTTTAATTTCCATAATTTCAAGAACTTCAAATTTCTTTATGCAATGTTTCAAACCTACTAAAATCAAGGCAAATACCCATATAATACTCCTGCTCCTTTACACCTTTTTTTTAAATAAAGCATTACAGATACAGCTAAAACCCCATTTCCTGGCCCTCCTCCCTCCCATTGTGTGAATCATACTTAATCATGGTTTTAAGTGTTTAGGACATATGGATATATCCATAAATCTTTTAATGTAGCTTTTCCCTGTGAGTCCTTTTTTTTTTTTTTTTAACACCATTAATCAGAAAAATCACTAACTAAAACCAAGAAAATATTGTTACATTTGCTAAGTGTTTAGAAGCCAGACAGAACTAATTTTCCCTGCTGGTGACAGGGGGAATGATAACAAAGGGATTAGACAGTGGGTAGTAAACAGCCTCTCTAGGTTACACAAACCCTTCCATGGTTACAGAATGGTCAATAGAAAAACAAAACAAATACTACCCCCTTCCTTCACTGGGTACAAGAGAATTGGGGGAAAAAATGGGATCTAGATTAACACTTCTTTGGGCGGGTAAAACAAAAGTCCTATCTAAGTAATACCTTTTTTGCATGGTCTCTTGGTCACCTAAACACTAATCTTTTAGTGTGGATTTACCCCTTTTCCAAATATAAGGGCTTCTGCTGGTAGCTCAATTCAAGGTTGAAATCAATCCCGCTGAAAAGTCCGGAGTTGAATCTTCCTTGCTTCCCCATACACGGGGACCTCCATCTGTACTGCAAGTTCAGCCAAGCCCTTTACAGCAGTCCTTTGACTTAACCTCCTCTGTGCAGTAAAAGGGCTATGAAAGCACCGATTTTTCTTAAATGCCATTTACTGGTGAAAGACATCCTTCCCCACCCCCACTCTCCTCTGGCTTCCAGAGCGATGACTCTCATTAATTATACTGGCACAGCACTGTCTGGCCTCCCTTCTAAATAGCTGCCAGATTTCTACATATCACCTCTGCCTTGATACAGAATGTGCACTGACAACAGGATCACAGAAAATCCTGTAAAAGGTGCCTGATGGCTGGTAAGATGATTGATGTGCTTTGAGGTGGGCCTGCTGTGCTGTGCCGCGCATCATAAAGGGTTTCTTAGAAAACTGCACTAGGAATCTCTATGTTGGAAGTAGATATTTCTAGCTGTACAAAAAGGGTGGCTTTCAGTTGCAAAAATAGGCATATTTAAGATACTCGAATTTAATCAGCAATAATCTGCAAGTTATATCCATAAGGCAAGAAAGTGAAGGAGATGAATATTATCCCTATTTTAACCAATGAACCAAAAAGTCACAAGAATAACCAAAGAGTTTGACAATTACCAAGGAGGAGTTATATCTCTCCCAACACATTTCTTGAGTACTTGCCATGTACCAGGCACTGTGCTAGATGGTAATTCTTAGCTGGAATTCAGATAGTACTCCTAAAGTACAGATCAGTAGCTCTCCTAACGGCCCTACTTTTAAATACAAATAACAAAACCACAACTCAAAGTAGCTTGAGTAAAATAGCCAGTGTAGTGAGTCCCACCTTACAAAAGAGGCAAGGATAAAGGCTTCAGGAATCACTGGATCCAGGAAATCAGAATTCATCATTTCTTTCTTATATTCGCACTTTTGATCCTCCTTTTCTCTCCCTGCTTTTCTCAATGTTTCTTTGTTTAATGTTTGTTTATTTTTGAGAGAGAGAGAGAGAGAGAGAGAGAGAGAGAGAGAGAGAGAGAGCACGAATGGGGAAGGGACAGAGAGAGAGGGAGACACAGAATCTGAAGCAGGCTCCAGGCTCTGAGCTGTCAGCACAGAGCCTGACGTGGGGCTCGAACCCACGAACCGTGAGATCATGACCTGAGGCAAAGTCGGATGCTTAACCAACTGACCCACCCAGGCACCCCTCAACGTTTCAACCTTACTCTTTCCTATTACATAGGAGCTTCCTCTATAGGCCAGTGGGTAGAGAAAGCATTACCAGAGACAGCTCCAGGTCTCAATCATCTCAGCTAGTGTTCCCAGGGTAAAGAGAGGATTTTTTTTTTTGCTTTTACTATCTGTAAATAAGATTGTAAGAAAGTGGGGTGCCTAGGTGGCTCAATCAGTTGAGTGTCTTTTCAGCTCAGGTCATGATCTCACGGATCCTGAGACAGGCTCTGCACTGTCAGCACAGGATTCTCCGTCTCCCTCTCTCTCTGCCCCTCCCTGCCGCACACATACTCTGTCAATTAAAAAAAAGAAAGAAAGAAAAAAGAAAAGATTGTAGGCAACGATCCTAATTGACCTGGTTCAGGTCACGTGTCCATCCATAGGTCAATTAATGTGGTCAACAACAAGTAGAGTGTATATATAGCCAGTTTCTGATTATAAACCCACCCCTACAGCCAGGAGTTGGGGTACCTTGAGTAGCAGCCCCACCAGAACTATGTGGAGTCAGGAGGATTTGTCCCCCATAGGAAGGGGGCTGTTCTTTCCAAATGAGGGTAGGAATGGATTCTGACAGGTAAAAAGAGCAAGGGTCCCCTACTGTGTCACCTCCTGAATCTGCCACCAAAGATAGCCGTAAACACCTTTGATAGATTCCTATGTGTATGACAGACATTAAAAAAAAATGAGTAAAGAAACTTACTGTGTCCATTAGGAGGAACTGAGGGGACGGGCAGTATAAATGCCACCAATCTTTCCCTCCCTAGCTACAGAAGCATATATCCCCACATGAAGCATATATCCCCACATGAAGCACATATCCCCACATGAAGCATATATCCCCATATGAAGCATATACCCCCACATGAAGCATATATCCCCATTTGCTAAGCTGAAAAAGGAGAGAAAGGAACATAAATAAGCAAGATGGCTGACCTTGAGAAGAGTGGCTTTGTATTTGTGCTTTTCACTTTTTATCACAGAAATTTTCATACATACACAAAAGTAGAATAGTACAATGAAGCCCTACATGTTGGTCACCCAACTCTCAATAGTTATTAATATTATGAAAATCTTTTATCTATTCAAGAATGTGACGGATTCACTGAATACTTAGTTTCATAAATTAACACATTTTTCCCTGTTGTGATCTTGGTTAATGGAAGGAATGCATGCCTACAAAATAACTATATTAAATAAGACTACTACATGTGAAGCTCTTAGCAAAATGCCTAGCACAAAATAACCTCTCAAAAATCTCAATTATTGGTGTGCCTGGGTGGCTTAGCCGGTTAAGCATCCAACTCTTGGTTTCTGCTCAGGTCATGATCTCATGGTTTGTGAGTTCAAGCCCCACGCTGGGCTCTGTTGCTGAAGGTGCAGAGCCTGCTTAGGATTCTCTCTCTCTGCCCTTCCCTTGCTCATGCTCTCTCTCTCTCAAAATAAATAAACAGTCTTTAAAAAAAAGTCAATTTTTTAGGGGTGCCTGCCTGGCTCAGTTGATGGAGCATGTAACTTTTGATCTTGGGGTTGTGAGTTCGAGCCCCACGCTGGGGGTAAAGATTACTTAATAAATAAATAAATTACTGGTATTACTTGCAACCTATTTAAAGCTTTTAAACATTAGCAAAGTCTACACATTGAAATGTATTTGGGCTACAGAGGAAAACAAATTAAGGCTAAACTCCTTGACAATAGACAATAACATTTTTAAGTGCTCCATTTAAAAAAAATTTTTTAATGTTTAATTTTGAGAGAAAGAGTGTGTGTGAGTGAGCAGGGGAGGGGCAGAGAGAGAGGGAGACACAGAATCTGAAGCAGGCTCCAGGCTCTGAGGTGTCAGCGCAGAGCTGACATGGGGCTCGAATTCACAAGCAATGAAATCTTGACCTGAGCCAAAGTCACACGTTTAACTGACTGACTCACCCAGGAGCCCTGTAAGTGCTCAATTTTTAAATGGGTGATTTGTAATTTTTATAGCACAAGCCTATGTAATTGTTTCCCCCTTTCTATATGAAAACATCAAAAATATTACAAGCAGGGGCACCTGGCCGGCTCAATCAGTGGAGCATAGGGCTCTTGATCTCAGGGTTGTGGGTTCAAGCCCCACATTGGGTGTAGCGATTACTCAAAAACAAAAATCTTTTTAAAAGTATATTATAAGCAAATGCACTTTTCACCTTACAAATAGTAAGACACATGTTAAACTGTCAAGCTCAGGAAAGAGCTTGGACTAAATATCGGAATTCTGAATTCCAGGTTCCCTACTTGAATACCTTGGCAAAATAATCCAGCCTTCAATGCTGGGTGAAGACAAAATAGCAGAATTGAGTCTGTCTAGGTTAAATCCATCAATTCAACTAAGATTTTCTTATACCTCAGTTATACTTCTTAAGAGACTCTCAGTTCCCAGCATAGAATGAATACTTTTTTTTAAGTGAATACTTTTTTTAGAAGTTCATTTATTTTTTTTAATAATCTCTACACCCAACATAGGGGCCAAACTCACAACCCCAAGATCAAGAGTCCCATGCTCTTCTGACTGAGCCAGCCAGGAGCCCCATAAAGAGTACTTTTTAAAAGGCAGGAAGGATGCTAATTAAAGTGAACTTACTCCGTTTTCTGTTTTTCTCCAACTTACTTCACTGTTTTCTCCTGGTGGTTGGGGGTCAGAGAATAAAGTATTCTAGAGAATATTTGACAATAGTATCAGCGCCCCCTTGACTTCCCCCTAAGAGCTTCCCAGCCCAGCTCTGTGACTTTTGTTTCCAGAAAGACCTCCCACA